GAGAGGCTAGTGACTAGCATGGATAAGCTGGCGTTAGCATTGGAGAGGCTAGTGACTAGCATGGATAAGCTGGCGTTAGCATTGGAGAGGCTAGTGACTAGCATTGATAAGCTGGCGTTAGCATTGGAGAGGCTAGTGACTAGCATGGATAAGCTGGCGTTAGCATTGGAGAGGCTAGTGACTAGCATGGATAGGCTGGAGTTCTGTTCCATCAGACGATTGTTGGATTCTCTGACTCTAAACGTCTTCTGTGTGTTCAGATCGGTCACATCGAAGACGATCCGGGCAGAAGAGGAGCGTTTCCCGTCACCTTCGTCCACTTCATCACCGAGTGACCGGATCCCCTCCAGCAGCGGAGCTTAAACAACCAGGAGCAAATAAAAACTGAAATCAGACTCTGGACCAGCCAGGAGGCTCAGGTCCACATGGAGTCTGTCATCAGAAACTTTGAAGTTCGTTCCAGCTGGGGAGTCTTCCTCCCTGATGAAGATGAGCGCTGCAGGACGAACGTTAGGATGGAAATACTTTTTAATTCTGGAGAAGATTAAATAAAACCTTTTGACTGAGTCTTTGGTCACAGAACACACGTGCACACACACGTGCACTGTTTTATCTGCTGGACATGGATCATAGTGACCTCTAGAGGCAGACGGAGATTTTTACAAATATTAAACAGTTTTTATCTTCCTTTTATTTGCCATAAAAGCAACAAAAACAGATTGTTTACAGATTCACTGATATTAAAAATATAGAGCAGGATTTAAATCTCCAGAAACATCCAACCTGTTTGATAAAAGTGACTCTTGTTCACCTGCTGGGATCTCACCTGTTCTACTAAAATACATTCCTTTTTAAATATGTTTGAAAATATGCTGTTCTGTTAGATTTTACTGCTTTCTTTCCTCATTAAAAACACTTCTCTAATTAAGTGGGTTTTTTTTATTATTATTATTGACTCAGCATTCACACTGTTGGTTTCCTGTCCTGAACAGGAAATAATATAAATAAGTTGCTTCTTTATTATTCTTTATGTAACGTGTTTGGCATTTGGAAGGTTGGTTGGATGGTTTTGATCAGCAGTTTTCTGAAAACCTTCCAGTATATATTTTTTTACTTTAGCTGCTTTTTTTAACTCTGTTTTTGTGCATGAACTTTTTCCTGATCTTAACTTTGATTTTTAAATCATTCCGGCAGAAAGGAGGCTCTTTAAAGTCATAGAATAAATGATAAAATCAACTTTAGCAGCTTGTTATGAAGACGTGTTTTTATTTATTTAGTTGAATCTATGAAAAATATCAAAGCTAACCAAGAGGTCAAATATTATTTTTACTCACAGAAAATCTTTAATTTGGCATATCTCAATAGAGTTCTTATGAAAATAATGAGTTTGATTTTTTATTTTTTTAAAGACTACTTAGCCGTTTTTTTTTTCTTTTGTGGTCGTGATTAATTTTCCTTGTTTGCTCTAAAATAAAGTTTTATGACCTTTAAGCATTATAACACATCTTTTCATTATATTACTATGGAAGCCCATTTCCGCCACCCTGATAAAAAATAAATAAAACTTGTATCTCATAATTATGACTTAGCTATCTCTCTCATAATTACGAGATAGCTATCTCATAATTACGAGATAGCTATCTCATAATTACGAGATAGCTAAGTCATAATTATGAGATACTATCTCATGAGATAGTATCTCATAATTATGAGATAGCTAAGTCCTAATTATGAGATACTATCTCATAATTATGACTTAGCTATCTCATGAGATAGCTAAGTCCTAATTATGAGATACAAGTTTTATTTTTTTATCAGGGTGGCGGAAATGGGCTTCCATATTTTTCTAATGTCTGAGCACCGGGCCATAAAAGAGCCTAACGGAACTACAGAGAGATGTTTCTAACCGGATGGATTTCAGCAGAAACACGGAAGTGACGATTTGCGACAAGCTGCGGGTCTCTTGTTGAAGTGACAGCGTGATGAACGTGTTTGTTTGTTAGTTGTTGTGTTGTTTATCGCTGTAAACATGACAACTAAACGTAAAGCAGACGCGACGGTTCCAGCTGAGGAGAGCGACCAGCTGCTGATCCGCCCGCTGTGAGTTTAAATCGGAACACTTTTCAGCTGCTGCACCGCTGCCTGCCTCACACCAAACTTCGTTCACAAAATTATACTTCACTTGTTTCTGTCTAAAAATCAAGCACTAAAGTGTTATGTTGTGTGATTAGAGAATATTTACATGTAGTGTTTTCTTTCGGTATCAAAATGTTACTCTAAAAACAATCTTTTATGCTTTTAATTGGGTTCACCTTTCATTTTGAAGCAAGTGGAGTACTGGCTTTACTTTAATTATGTAGCAACTAAATCTTGAGTTTTTTTATTATTAATATTCCAACTTCATGTATAATTTAAATATTTCTACTTTTCACTTGTAAAATTGTGAACTTTTGAGTAGAAACGTGAAAGTTTGTGTTTGTGTGCAGAGGAGCCGGACAGGAAGTGGGACGGTCCTGTATCATCCTGGAGTTCAAGGGGAGAAAGATCATGGTAACTCTGAGTTTGGGTTGTTATTGGACAGAGTGTGGATCTCAGTGTATGAAAACCTGTGTGTTTGGGTCTTCAGCTGGACTGTGGGATCCATCCTGGTCTGGAGGGGATGGATGCTCTGCCCTACATCGACCTGATCGATCCGGCTGAGATTGATCTGCTTCTTATCAGCCAGTGAGTCCAGGAAACCTGCTTCAGAACTGTTGAGACCAGTTGTTTTTAGTGATTATCACAAAATCAGCTGAACTTGTTAAATCTCTTCAGCTTCCACCTTGACCATTGTGGAGCTCTGCCCTGGTTCCTGCAGAAGACCAGCTTTAAAGGCCGGACCTTCATGACGCACGCCTCCAAGGCCATCTACCGCTGGCTGCTGTCAGACTACGTTAAAGTCAGGTAAGGTTAAATGCGTTAAAGTCAGGTAAGGTTAAATACGTTAAAGTCAGGTAAGGTTAAATACGTTAAAGTCAGGTAAGGTTAAATA